AATTTATTTTATAATTTATCCAATTCCTATACAAACAATTTCTTTTCGATAACTTGAAACAACCTACAACAAATCAATGGGTAACATATTCATAGTTCATATTTATAGTTGTACCTTTCTGAAGAAAAATGAATTGGGAATTTTAGCTCAAAACATAAAACCATAAGTTTTAATTCCCGAATACTGTGAGCGTTAACGCACCCTAGAAAAATATTGCACCTTTCTACAGTTGCAATGAATTATCTTAATTGTTATATTATTCGTTTGGGATTAAAAGATTAAGGGGGAGGGAGATAAAGATGAAAAAAGAATGTAAAAGCATCAGAGCTTGAGATTTCAGGACACTCTTACAGTTTTAACCTCTCTTGCATGCTTTAATCGAGGTTTAAATATTTATATTAAGCTCCCAGGCATTATTTAACAATATTTTTTTTATTAAAATGCGATATTCTGGTACTTTCAAACTCTAACTCTTGACTTCAACACAATTCGAGAAGAAGTTGTCCTTTTTCTATCAGTGTAAAATTATATATGCATAGTAAGTATGTATAGTATTGTTTGTACGATCCAAAGCAGATGTTCATGTGCTGAAATATGCACTTTGTTATAAACACAAACATTTTAAACTTTTAACAAAAATAACAATTAGACTCTTCAGTAAAGGCTGCTAAACTGCCTAAAGAGGTTTTTGATTTACATTAATTAAATATATTAAGCTTAAATTTACAATAGTAACGAATTTAAATGCATAATATCTAAACAGTTTAGCACTCAGTCTTCAATTCAAACTATTAATAAATGGAAATAAGAAAAGCAGCAAGCTAAAAAATTCGTAATTACTTTTTGTTAAAGTCTTTGCAAATAAGTAAAAGTTGGGAAGGCTCTCACTCGAATCAGGTTAAAACTTGCGAGGCAATATTGATATTATATCGATGTAGAAAAACCACACTCTTTATCTCATTAATAAACATTCTTAAAGGCTATTTAGAAGAGGTTGTTGTTTTTTCACTGTAGTACCATCTTTCAACTCGGTCCTTTAATTGAAAATTGTTGAAACAGTTTGGCTTTGACTTGTCGGAAAAACTACTTTCCACTTGTTTGCGATGCCAGCCTACAATGCTGGCAAACTTCATCAAAATTGAAGCACATGCCATGCCTCTTTCAAAAACAAACTTCTGATGGGCACTCTTCCATTAGGCCCCATTCATTAGGTTTCGAAATACAATTTAGCGACCCATTTATGTCAGAACTCAATGCCAGCAGCCACTAGGTAAACAAATGTCTTGTGCTCAGTCAAGTGCACTAAATGCTTGCTGCCATCGCTTAAATGTTGTCTCATGTTCAACTCGTTAACGCAAAGTTGGGACCGAATAAACACAGTGGCGGTCTAGGGTAGCGAGCTTGCACAGATTTGACATTTTTTCCTCTTCAATTTGGCTTTAATTTGTGTGAAAGTTTGACGCAGCACTATTTATATGGGGCCCCCCATTGGGCGCCAAAACTGTATCGCCACTGCACGGTCGCATTTTAAACTACACGCACGAGAAGCGAAACTAGGCGTAGTCAAGCAAAATGATTGATGAAAAATCTGCGTGTGTACACAACTTGGCACTCAACACACACACACTGATAGACACACAAGCACACACACACACACTCACACAGACAGATACAGCGTCGCACTTACGCCCACTTAAACAAGCCACAGCAGCATGCCCAGTAGTTGGCAAAAAGTTGCTGCTTCCATTTTTTTTTTGGCCGAAAACAAAATTGAATGATAAGGCATTGTGTTTGCGAGTGGGGCGGGGAGTTGCTTTTAAAATAAAACTTTTCCCACTGATTGATAGTTAGCAGCAAAAGTTAATTGCATGTGCCCCACACCACAGCTTCCTCCCCACTCCACGATGCTCCACAAAACCGCAACAATCGACCACAAAACTGCATTTTATGTATGCATATATATTGTAATTTTAGTTATGGTTGAAAAACCGAAAACAAAACAAAAATCACGCATAGTTCTGCACGCAGCGCACAAACAAACACAATAAAATTGCAATTTAAAGTTGCTTATAATTAAATTTTAATTACGTGCTCCGCAGCACAACGAATATGCATTCACTTGTGTGGCGCATGGAATGCACAAAATCTGTGGTGTGCCCGAGTTTCTGTTTTCGTGTAAAGTTATGAGCAAATTCTTTAATAGTATTATGAGAAGGAGTGCGGAAAGCACTCGCGCGCGATTTTTTCACACAATTTAGTCAAACAATTCACACGCATAACACACGTCAGCAAATTAATGCAACAGTCTGGGCATGAATGGGAAAATGAGAAATGCAGCTTATTTAGGACTTTAATTAAATTATGCGCCATTTAATTGATGTTGAAAGGCAATTAATAAATTTCACTCATTTAAAAATCTTTCCCCACATACTAAGTATACGCGTATTTTAAATGTTTCTAAATACTTTTAAATATTACAAATAAAATGTCATTTGTTTAAAACTTAGCGCAATAAATGTGTATGCTGGGAGCAAAGCAAATAATTATATTTGCAAGCAATTCATAAATGTTGCCTTCTTTCAACATTAAATTTAATTTTTCAGCACTTTGGATGCCTTTTTAAACCAAATTTTAAGCAATTTATAAATGTTTCCTTCTCTCAACATGCAATTTAATTTTGGTCCACTTTGGATGCTTTTTAAAAATCTTTATACATTCCCCACATATTTTGTACATTCTACGCGTCACCGCTTTGCATAATTTAATCAAATAAATTGCAATTTAGCTAAAAATGTCGTTTAATTGTTGTTAGAAAACTGCTTTTCCGCTGAAAGCGCAACAATTATGACAGCGACCAAAAATTGTAGCATACTTTTCAGCTGTTGCACAAAAAATCAAAACATACGCGAACGAAAAATGTGTAGCTAGGCTAGTTTTTAGAAATAGTTGTTTATTCAATTAAATATTCAATTAAATTTAAATTGTTTACCTTATTTATATAAATTTATATATAGTTCGTATTTATCAGTTGTATCTGAAGCAATCGCATTTACGGGCAATGTTTTATTGATTCGAATTCATGTGTGGTTGTGGTATGTATGCATAATTGCTAATAATAATTTTTTGCGCTTTATTTAAATATAGCTGCTTGTTGTTGTTGTGTTGTTGCTTTTCTTGTTGTTGTTGTTGTTGTTGCTATTGTGAACACAGTGATGTGATGAAGTTTAAACGACTAATACACGCACAAAATACACGCACACGCACTGAGAGACGCCAAAAAGCATTTGAAATTGTTGTGTAGAGTCGACACCAACACAAACACAAATACCAATACAAATTCAAATACAAACACACACGCACGCATACACACAGAGGGCAACGCGCTAACGAAATTGTTAAAAATTATTTATTTACTTAGATTTTATTTACGCTATTTTTGCTTGAATTATTTTGTGGTTTTATTTGATGTGTATTTGATAGATTTTTTTAAACAGTTGCAGTTAGGGCTGCTCTTGTTGTAGTAATTGTTTTTGTTGTTGTTGTTGTTGTTGGGCGCTCTAACGGTACACACACGCAAAAACTAACCGCGTCAACTCAAAAGTGCGTCCTGACTCGTTGTACCCTAACGACTTAATGCGCTCAACGCAGCTTTTCACACGGCCATGGACCGGAGTAGCTGAAAACCACACTGTCACACACACACACACACACACACTCATGCATACACCCGCACATGCAAGGCGAAGCTTCCAATACGAAGATGAAACCGTTGACTGTGTATGCTGCGTCCGCCATTCGGCTCACATCCTCATCGTAGTCGTAGTCCTCGTCGTCGTCGTCGTCCTTCTCGTCGGCTCTTTTGAGTGAAAGCTCACTGGAATGTTTACAATTGAGCATCTGAGTTAGTATGAACGCAAATCTCAGGCAGTCCCGCCGCCTGCCAGCGCATCCTTTGCGTGGGCGCTCAATGGTGTTGCTGGTGTGCTGGTCAATGTCTCTATACCTGCTGTTGCTGCTGCTCCAGAATGAAAAACAAAAAAAGTAACCGACTATGAGTGTAGCATCCACCAGCATACTCAACCCCCCTCTTCGTCGTCCTTTTGGTTTCAGTTCCAGGACGAAGTTTCATTAATGAGTGCGACAAGTGTGTGGCGCTCAAAATGCTCAACATGTGCGCGCTGCTGCTGCTTTTGAGTGCCTATTTGGGCGTCGCGATGCCAAACCAAACACACTTAACTAATGTCTGTAGAATATTTTAGTCTGATAACAGCTGCCGCAATGTTGTTGCTGTTATCAGCGGACACCTCGTATTGCAAACAGTCCACAATAAAGGACTCCAGGTACAGTGGGTTTAATGAAATGGAAACTAATTTTGGAACTTATTTAACGCTCGTTTTCTCAAGCCAACGGAGAGCTAAAATGTATACAACTGTTAATACTGTCCTTAATAGTATAAGTGGGCCTCGAAATGGGGGAAAGGGGACCGATTTTGATAACGAGATTTATATATATTTATGTTTAATACTACTGTACTAGTTCCGATTCCAGTATTAGTTCATATTTCTTTCCGTTTCTGTGATCTTTCAGAACAGGAACAGAAAAAGTTGCAGTCTTCGTGACGATTTCGACTTACCATCAGTTATGGTATAGATTGCGATTCCGGCATTGGTTTCGGTTGCTTTATTTGTCTAGGTATTTATTCAGGAAATGTTCTCATATAACTCAAAATATTCTAAACCTGTTTAAATAATAGTCCCGACACCATTTTTAGAGTGGACCTCTCTTAAATTAAATTTTAATAAAATATGTCTCCACTTTTGTCATGATTTTTGACGAATTAAATGTGTAGCCATGAGAAAATATTTTAAAAATGTTCAGTTCTCTGACAATTCGGACAATTTAGTATTATTGCAATACGAATTGATTGCTGAAGCTGTTAATTCAATTCCAGTGATCTTTTTAAACATCATTCTTTATAAATAAAAATACAATTTTTTTATATTTAGATTGGTACTAAGCTTTATTGATATATCTTTGAATAAAATAATACTTGCCTTTCCATTTAAAGACAATGAGGTAACTGTACTTTTAAGGGAGAGAACAACATAAGATTAAAGATATAAATTAAAGAAAATACGAACAAAATTGATGGTCGAGTTATGCAGAGTTACATTCCATATCACATTTTTCATCTTACAATCCTTAGCGATCCCTTGGCATTTTTCTAAACCACAACCCACTGTGCACCTCTCGTGGCTTTTTCGTTGCCAGCTTTATGCGTAGCTTAGGAACATGAATTATGGAAACCAATAAAATTAAGTGCATTAATGCGCTTTGTTGGACTATAAAATGAGGCCCGGTCTTTGGCGCCGATGGCAAAATACAATCGTACTTGTATATCCTTAATATACAATATGTTTGAATGTTTTTTGTGTGTTGCACACACATACAGATGTGTGTGTGTATAAATGAGCCTCTGGGCGCTAATATATTTCGTGTACTTCAAATCACAGCTAAATGCATAGGCTTCTAAGTGCACTAATTATATTATTGGACTAATTGATGTAAAGCGAACTAACTTTGTGGCTTTTCCCTCTCACGTGTTCAAAGCATCCTTTGATTTAGACTTTCTCGATTTGCACAAAGCGCTCACGCTTGTATTGATCCTTATAACTGTCTACAAAACGTAAGCGACCCTCGTATTTCAAATTCATAATGGTCTTGACTAAAGGCGGATGTTCGTTGCCCAGTTCGAGCCACAATTTGCCGCCGGGACGCAAATGGACACAAGCCAAATCAAAAACTAAACGGGCAACCCGCAAGCCATCCGGACCGCCATCCAGGGCGTTAATGTTCTCGTAGCTATGCATAGGAGAGGCGGAAATTAATAAAACATTTCTGTTCCTGCTGTTACTCTCTTCACTTACACGACCACCTCGGGATGCAAATACTGAAACTCCATTGTCTTGACATAGGGCGGATTTGATATTATCAAATCGTATTGCTTATCCTTCAGCTCCTCCGGCATATACTTGTTTTCCTCCATGGTATGGTTGTAGACCTTGAAACGCTGGTGCAGTCCCAGCAGCTTGGCATTCTCCCAAGCCAGTGCTGTGGCCGCTTTGCTGCGTTCTATGCCGGTCGCATCCACATGCGGCAGTGCATGCAACATGGACAGGGACATGGCGCCCGAGCCGCAGCCTACTTCCAGCATATCGATATGCTCCGATTCGCGATATTCCTCGATCACACGTCGTACAAACTCTTCAGTTTCGGGTCGCGGGATAAAAACAGTGGGTGCTGTCTTCAGTGTAATATCCATAAAATCCCATTCGCCAATGATGTGCTGTAGAGGCATGCGGGCGCAGCGTGCCTCACAGAAGCGCTCAAAGTCGCGCAATTGCGAGGAATTGAAGCTTACGTTGGCATAATTGTCGGGCACCGTGTTCTGTTGGAGAGCGGAGTAGGGGGCAGAAAAGTGAGGTTATAGCAGACGACTAAAAGCGACTGACACTGTATGAAACACACAAATTTACGCTGCAATACATGTGAGACAATGCATTTTAAGTTGAAATCGGTGTCCTCAACGCCAGCCTCTTTTAGTTTGCCCGCCCATCCGTCCAAGGCTTTGGTAACTGGCACCACAGTTTCATCCTTTGTTGTTTCTGTTACTGCGTGTTCGGCAGACGGCTGCGAGCTGCCGCTGCTGGCATAGCGCGTTAATTTTGCAGCTGCCAGGCAGCGCATTGGCTTTGTCAATAATTTCAGCATCATTTCGACTAATTACCTAACTAATATTGATTAATTTACAACAAACTTGAACATTTTTGTTGCACAAGCCAGTTACAGCTGTTCACATGTAGGCCTAAACAGATGTGCCTGTCAGTGTTGAAAAATACACGTAAGAATAAATATCGAATAGAGCAACAATCGATAGCTGGCCATAACAGCGCAACAGGTGACTTGCAGTGATTTATTTATTTGCTATTATTATTATTTTAAAAGTAAGTTTATTTAAATACACGACTATTGATTAATAGCTCTAGATCAATAATATTAATATTAAATAAATATGTAGAACTAGTGCCGAGATGCCGCAAATGTTGGATACTTTGGTGTTTAGTAGAAGCTCGTTCAAAGGTCATTTTATGTTGTTTACAATGTTTTTGTAATTCATCTTCCAGAGATAATGCTGCGTTCCAAGCTACTGAGTCTGCTGCCACGTGCCGCCGATGCCACAAGATGCATGTCCAGTGCCGCCACGAAGCTAACAACAGTGGAGGTGGATAGTAAGAGCGGCATAGCTACGCTTACAATGAACCGGCCGCCTGTAAATGGCCTGAACTTGGAACTGTTGCGGGATATTAATGCATCGATCGACGAAATTGAGAGCAATAAAAGCCGTGGACTCATACTGACATCGGTATAAATATATTAACCCAAAACATACGAAAAACATTACTAATTGTTGCCGTTCTAGTCGAATCCCACCATCTTCTCTGCCGGCCTAGATATAATGGAGATGTATAAACCCGATCAGGAGCGTCTGCGCGCTTTTTGGACAGCTCTACAAGATTGTTGGCTAGCACTCTACGGCAGCAGTGTTCCCACTGCAGCAGCCATCAATGTAAGCAGCTCTTAAATATGATAAAGAAGACACGACTCATCTTTAAACGGTTCTGCTTTTCTTGCAGGGTCATTCACCCGCCGGCGGTTGTTTGCTGGCCACCTCATGCGAATATCGCGTAATGCTGCCAAATTTTTCTATCGGCCTGAATGAAACTAAGCTGGGCATTGTAGCGCCTCTGTGGTTCATGGCGAGCTTTCTGAGCGTCCTGCCCAGACGTGAGGCCGAGCGGGCGCTCAATCAGGGTCGAATGTTTAGTACGGCCGAAGCATTGGAAGCCGGTCTAATCGACGAGATTGCCAGCAGCAAGGAGGAGGCGCTGGCCAAGTGTGCTGCTTTTATTGGCACTTTTGCCAAAGTAAATCCAATGGCACGTGCATTAACGAAACAACAATTTCGTGGTGCAGATTTGCGGCAATTGGAGAATGAACGCGCTCAAGATTTGGAGAAATTTTTATTCTTTGTAAATCAGCCGGCTGTACAGAAAGGACTGGGAATTTACCTCGATGGTCTAAAGAAGAAGGCCAAGAACTGAAATTGTTTGCATTTTGCCATTAAATCTCTGTTTTTTACATCATCTTTTCTTAAATTTGCATGCATCCATTGTTGCTGGTAAGCTAAAAACTAAATTAATTGGAAATCCATATCTTTTTATATGTCTATTAAACTGTTATGATAAAAATAGTCCCGCAATTTTATGAACTAAGCTTTCAGTTGCTTAACATTTCATTTCTCTTTGGAAATTACTTTCTCCAGTTCCCACATTTATTCATTTCCACAAGAAAAAGTAGTCGTCGTTATAATAGGTCCAATAGCCGCTCAAGCCCGGAAATAGCATATTTATTTTGTTTGAATTTAATGTTAGTTTGACATGATTTAGTAACCCAAGCCACAGAACCGAAAGGGTTTATTTACAAACATAGAAATTTTTAATTTCCCATTCTTTTAAAATCGAAAGAGATGCGAGTAGGCATCGCTCATCGTCAGGAACTTCGAAGTTGGATTGGAAGTCACCACCTCAGTTGCCTGTGGAGATTTGGTGCTACTTTTCGTCGCATTGATGCTCTTTTTCGTCGTATTGGTTCTCTTTTTTATCGTATTGCTGCTCTTTTTCGTCGTATTGGTTCTCTTTTTTATTGCATTGCTGCACTTTTTCTTCGTATTGGTTCTCTTTTTCATCGTCTTGGTGGTCTTTTTCATCGTTTTGGTGCTCCTTTTTGTCGTATTGATGATCTTTTTTGTCGTAGCCCTCAGTGGTTGACTGTTTTCCACCTTTTCAGAACGTTGTTTGCTATATAAAGTATAATAAATACAATAATAATATAATAATAATAATAATAAATCAGACTAAAAGTTTAAAGCATTTCCAATATTTTGCTAATTTTTTTTTTAATAAGCAATATAAAAAAAATTTTATAGTATTTCATCTTCTTTTTTTATACTTGAATAAGTGGACAACAATTATATGCAATTTTTGTATATTTCTAAACATGAAGCAGTGTGCGTTAAATTTTGCTCTCTAATTCAAAGAGGGGATTTCTTTTTCCCACACCCAATATTATAATTATTAAATTTATATGATTTAATTGTTCTTATTTTGAGTATTTGGCTTAAAAGGTACAGTAAACATTAATTATTTAAATAAAGAAACATAATTGCACAAAAGCCTCTATTATACTATTATTTAACTGTGATTTAATATCAAGAAATACTCGGCATCAATATTTAAAGACGGCATAAAATAAACAATTTTTCCGTAGCTTCCAACTTTTTCTTACCCTAAATTTATATTTTAAAAGGTGCAGTCCAATCTTTTGTGATTCCCTTTTTTAAAGTGCTTTTTTTTTACTCCATCAAGTAGATATTTTGATTTATGTGGATAAATAATGAATAGGACTTACACAGTCGGTTCCGCTCTCATATCTGTTAGTGCGACTGGTCCGGCGCTTTTAACTGATTGTTGATTTAACTCTTTCGCTCGCACAGATCGCTGATTTGGCTTCGCGGCGGCTATAAATATTTAATTAAATGTGCATTACATATTTCGTATTTCTATATAAATAAATAATTACCTGCACCAGTTTGTAATTTCTCTAACAAAGTTGTTATGTTTTTCATTCTGTTAAGAAAAATAATTTACATTAAAACAAATTATTTTTTTAACATATATTTTGTTATGGAATGATAGTAATTCTATATTTGTTCACCCACCTCTCTGCCTGATCAAATTTAAAGGCATCGAAATCGTGGAATATCGAATATTTCAGTTGTTGAACGGCCTCCACCACAGGTTTCATAATATCGTTGGTAATGTTTTGAACAATTTGTGTTAAATTATTAAAAGTGAGGACATCTGTGTTACGAGCTGGTTGAGCGTCCGTTATAGTTGCTGACTGAGTGGGTGGCGCAGAACTGCCGGGTAATGTTGTCTGTTCACTGGAACTGGCCATTAAGTTGCTCATACCAGTGTTGACTGTTGTCTGTTCACTGGAACTGGCCATTAAGTTGCTCATACCAGTGTTGACTGTTGTCGCCGCAGAACTGCCGGGTAATGTTGTCTGTTCACTGGAACTGGCCATTAAGTTGCTCATACCAGTGTTGACTGTTGTCTGTTCACTAGAACTGGCCATTAAGTTGCTCATACCAGTGTTGTCTGTTGTCGCCGCAGAACTGCCGGGTACTGTTGTCTGTTCACTGGAACTGGCCATTAAGTTGCTCATACCAGTGTTGACTGTTGTCTGTTCACTGGAACTGGCCATTAAGTTGCTCATACCAGTGTTGACTGTTGTCGCCGCAGAACTGCTGGGTACTGTTGTCTGTTCACTGTTGCTCATACCAGTGTTGACTGTTGTCGGCGTAGAACTGCCAGGTAATGTTGTCTGTTCACTGGAACTGGCCATTAAGTTGCTCATACCAGTGTTGACTGTTGTCGGCGTAGAACTGCCAGGTAATGTTGTCTGTTCACTAGAACTGGCCATTAAGTTGCTCATACCAGTGTTGACTGTTGTCGGCGTAGAACTACCGGGTACTGTTGTTTGTTCACTGGAACTGGCCATTAAGTTGCTCATACCAGTGTTGACTGTTGTCTGTTCACTGGAACTGGCCATTAAGTTGCTCATACCAGTGTTGACTGTTGTCGCCGCAGAACTGTCGGGTACTGTTGTCTGTTCACTGGAACTGGCCATTAAGTTGCTCATACCAGTGTTGACTGTTGTCGGCGTAGAGCTACCGGGTACTGTTGTTTGTTCACTGGAACTGGCCATTAAGTTGCTCATACCAGTGTTGACTGTTGTCTGTTCACTGGAACTGGCCATTAAGTTGCTCATACCAGTGTTGACTGTTGTCGCCGCAGAACTGTCGGGTACTGTTGTCTGTTCACTGGAACTGGCCATTAAGTTGCTCATACCAGTGTTGACTGTTGTCGCCGCAGAACTGCCGGGTACTGTTGTCTGTTCACTGGAACTGGCCATTAAATTGCTCATACCAGTGTTGACTGTTGTCGGCGTAGAACTACCGGGTACTGTTGTTTGTTCACTGGAACTGGCCATTAAGTTGCTCATACCAGTGTTGACTGTTGTCGACGCAGAACTGCTGGGTAACAACACAGAGGCTGTGGGGCTAAACTCTCCGAGAGTTGTGCTGCTACTAGTTTGTGGCACAATAAGTGATGTGGGAATCTGAGTAGTACCAACTCGTTCAGTAGTCTTATTATTGGGTATGTCTGTTGGGTTCTCTGTCGTAGCTGGCTTAGAGGGCGCTGATGAGCTTTGATTGGGTGTAGTACTTACAGTAGGAACTATTGGTTGGTTGCTCTCCTGGCCATTTAGTAACTCTCTGATTTTATCCAATAGCTCCTTTGAGAGATCTAAATCCGCTTGCGAATTAGTAGGATTATTTGCCATATGATGTAACTTGTCATTAAGCAGCTTCGCCAACTTATCCATCAAGTTCAATCCCTCCTTTACTTTATCGATCGGGGAGGCATTCTTATCTGGTAGTTTGTTTGGAGATTCTGTGGTGCCATTTGGATTCTGTTTCTTGGCATCATTTAGTAATGCTTGTAGTTTTTCCAAAAAGTTCAACACCGTTCCTAGAGTTTCGATGGCTGTTAAATTTCCACTCTCACAACCCTTTACTTTATCGTTAAACATTTGTTGAACATTTTTTAATAGATCCAGCAAGTCTTTTATTTCTTGATCGGATGCTCCAGGGGGCAGGGTGGTATTAGTATTTTGATTGTCCTGGGGGTTTGAGGTTTCATTGTTTGTCTGTGGTTTGGTTGTGGCTTGGGGAGGGCCTGATGTTTCGTGTGGGTTTGGTGTTATAAGCGTAGTACCTAAAATTGTCTATAATTAGTGGTTGCATCTGTATAATGTTATATAGTAGTACTTTTTATATCGTCTTTATCGTCCGCTCCGTTCAACAACTTCTGTATCTTGTTCAATATTTTCACGGTCGAGCCCAATGCATCCAATGATGGTACCACACTTTCGGGGGTATCTTTTAGGTTTTCATCAAACATTTTCTTTAATTGGTCCATGAGCCCTAACACATTCTTTATTTTGTCTATTTCAGGGCCTTGAGTCGGAGCAACTGGCCATTTTGGAATCTTTATAGGCCTGTTCGGGTTATGTTCTGCGGGTACGGGTGCGGGTGCAGGTGCGGGTGCAGGTGCGGGTGCTGGATCTTCCGAAGTTGAATTCGCTTGTAGCTTTGGTATAACATCCTTTAATATCTGCATCAACTTTTGAATGAATGCCAACTGTTCTTTCGGGTCCTTAATGGCTGGGTCCGAGCTCGATGGGTATTCATTGGGAATGGGTCTATTTTGCGCAAGCTCATTCGCTGCATTCATCAAAATATCAATCAAGGAGCGCTGATTATCGGCCCAATGTTTCAGTAAATTGGCCAAATTGTGCATTGCGGCTGAATCTGTAGAATGAGGGGGTCTATGCGTTGGTATATCATGTTCTTCCAAATGCGATTTGGGCTTAAGTTTCTTTAGAATTTTCTCAACTAGGTAGACCAACCTCTCGATCAATGCCAATTTTCTATTGCGATGTGGCCTAGGATAATACCCTAATTTACCATTTGCTTTCGACATTTCCCTTATTATTTCGCGCACGAAGGTGCCAATCAATGCTCGTTGACTTTCCGCCCACAACTTGAACCAGGACGAAACATTACCTATCCCGCTGGCGTTATCCTCTCTGCCATTATTCGGAAACGGTTTGTTGTCGTCATACGGTGGCGGTCTTTCGACATCTGTATCATATTCCTGGTATTGGATTGGTGCTGGATAATGGACTGGCCTGTTTTCATAGGGTCGGTGCAAACCAGGATATCTTGGACGTGCTCTCCAGTTCCTTATATGCTCGTCTCCATTGAATTCAGAGCGATCATTGGGCTCATTATTATAATCCTGCCGCATATCTTCATTAGACTCCTGATACGAATCGATTTCCTGCGAAGGAAACACATACAATAATAAATAACTAATCTTCTTAAGATAGCCAGTGATATGATGAGTGATTGTAATATTTTAAAGACTCAAAAACCTGATGCTCTTTATAAATATAAAAGTATGATATAGTTTTTTTTTTATATATATATTTATATAAAAACAGTAAGATCTCTTTACAAAGACTCCGTTGTTCCAAATAAGGCGTTTCGAAATGTTTTTATAGTCTTTGTCAGTAAAACGACAAGACGGGAATTCAATTTAAGGACTATTATCAAAATTTCATTAAAAGATCAAAAATACCGGACTCGAGAACAAAGACGAATATATCTTGAAGATTAATAATATTACTATTTCAGGGTTTAATAGAATAGGAGATAATAAATAGGATTGTTGAAAGCTTTCCCTTGGAGAACTCGTATCACTCTTCCGATTTATTGATATAACAAATATAGTTGTACTTCACTTTGTGTTGATTTTCGTGAGCACTTATAATACATAATTCTATGTATTTAAAAATAATCTTTCCCCACATTAGCGAGCTGTATTTACTTTCGAATAACACTCATAATTCCAAAAACAATAAATGTTTCGTAGAGCTTTGAGATTAAGGATCAAAGAAAACAAACCTTTAGCTGGAAATAGAATCAAGTCTTTTTTTTAGTACTCGTGGTTTAAATGCTAATTCACACAATCAGACGAGTTAATCGGACATTAGTCTCACTTATGAGTAGCAAAGAATTACGTATAATATTTTTTTTTTACAAAAGTTTGTTGACCTTTGACCTTTTCGGTTTACACAAATAAGAGACGTTACAAATGCAAAACATGTTTGTGCGTGTTAAATGAAGAAAGCTTAATCATATTCAAGACTGCACTCACATTTCCAAAGCTACTAATTGCTGATAGACACACAAAAACTATAATGATCGTAACATCCATTTAAGTACACTTAGATCGATCGCACAGTTCACTCGCCAAATGGATACTAAGCCGTTTCTCAATAGAATATAAAACCCTAATGCTATTATCGGACCGCAATGAATTGAAAAAATTGATATGCTATGCCTAGCTAGCAGAAATGATTGAAACTAATGAAATTCTTGCAGTTCACCAATAGTCAGGGAATTGAAATGTGCGTAGCGCCACCTAGGGTAGGTGTACGGCATATCTGAAACAATTACAAGGGAGAGGTTCTTGCCTACGTGTCGTCTTCGGATGGAATTTAGGATTCTTGGTTATTTATTAGGAAACAGAACCATATTCTTGTTGGAATACAATTTATATTAGATGTATGCCTTAGAGACCATTTCCAGCACCTTATTCTGGAAACTTTTGATGTAAATTTTCCGACTAAAGATATTTTATCCCTTACATCCGCCAGCTTAGTATAAAGTTTTCTTAAACTGCATTTGAAAAATTATCCTCTTAGAGAATCCATTATCCCTACTCCAATATTTGAAAAATCAAGAATATTGGCTCTAAAAAGGGTTAAATTCTTCGCCAACTGATTACAATGAAGGCTATAGTTAAGCACTGATAACTATAGTGTATTTATTTGATGAAATAATATACAATGTAGAGGCTAAATTATAGAGTTTTTAAACTTAAAATAAATACCAAACCGGGATTTCGAATTAGGGAGAAATTAGGGATTTACGCAATGGGCTTTTCATATAGTACATTGCCTAATTAATACACAAAGGCATGCTGGGGTGTGGCACGCTCAATAAGAGAAGACTTGCGAGCTGGCATCGGACGGTTCTTCGATATGATTCGAACTGGGACTAGTTGGGAGCACCTGAGTTGCCTGCAGGAGATCGACGCCATTGTCCGTCGTAGTCAGCAGCAGCTGTTCTGGCGCAAAGGGGGCGGCGACAGTCGAGGGGGACAGCTCCTCTTTGGGCACAGTGGGCGACTGCTTCATGATGTGATTATAAATGTTGTCTATGGTGGGTATGGCAGCGGGAGGAGCAGCCGCCTCGGGAACAGTGGAGGGCGGCTTGGGCTTCTTGCCAAAGGCAAAGCAACCGCTCTGCTTGGTGGCCACCGGTGACAGATTGTCCTTGTTTTTGGTGCTGTTGGAAAGGCAGAATAGACTTTAAACTAATGTATTGGAGGGATGGATCATAGCTTACAAAGCCTTGAGCGCCTCCAGCTTGGGTATGTTGCGGTTATAGGTTTTGGCGCCGCCGGCCGCTTCCTGTTCGGCCAGCTCGACGGGATGCGACTTCTTCTTGTGCGTCCGGCAATTGGAGCCATTGGCAAAGGTGCGATCGCAAAAGTCGCAGGAATATGGCTTGAGGCCAGTGTGCAGTATCAGATGATTCTTCAGGGCCTTGGCACGCTTGAACTCCCGTCCACAATAGTCGCATTTGTGCTGCATCTGATCCGTGTGGACGAGTCGATGTCGATTGAGCGTGGGCCGCGAATTCAGCTGCATGCCACACTCTGGACAGATGTATTTGTGCGGATCATGTGTCTCCTTGTGGTGCTTGAGGCGGTTGGCGCTCTTGAAGCACTTCTTGCAAATGTCGCACTCGAAGGGCGCGTAGTCTGTGTGTCGCAACATGTGCTCCTTGAGCGCGGCATTTGAGTGCACGGCGACGCCGCACTGTTCGCAGATGAAGGGTCGCGGCCGCTCGTCCTGGTGCATATACTGGGCATGCAGCTGGGCGGAATAGTTGCTGGTGAACTTCTTGCCACAGCTGTTGCAGGGATAGATTTTTCGCTTCGTTATGGGCACGTGCTGTTGCATGTGGCGCTGGAGTTGGTAGCGTGTACGAAATTTCTTATCGCACTCGGCACATGGCAGCTGCTCACCGGGACTCGTCTGGTCAGACACCGCCTCCTCCTCCTCTTTTGTGTGATGTCGCATATGGCGTTGCAGCGTCCAGGTGTGTGTGTAGACTTTGTAGCATTCGGAGCACTCATAGATTTTGCCATCGGATGTTTTTTCTTTGCCTTTCTTGCGACCTCTGCGACGTATTATCTCTCTGACGGGTCTGCTGGATTTGCTGCTGCAGCTCGATGCACTGCCGGGCTCGCTAGCCAGGTCCTCTGCGCTATCCGCCAGCGATTCATCTTCTTCCGCAGCATTGATTTCCTCGTCTTTGTTCTCCCCACCCTCTGTTCGCCGGCAGGGGGTAAGCGGATTCTCCAGCTCCAGCGCCTCTTCCAGCAGGCCCTGCTCATTTATTTTCGGCTTCTCGTCCACCACATAGTGTACTTCCGTCAGCGCCTGCTGCGGCAGCACCACTGCCTCCCGCTCTTCGTCCAGCAGTCCGAATCTGGTGCGCAACTCTCGCATATCCAATGCCTTCTGCTTGGACCTGCTCTGCAATATGCAATACATTTTCTGTACCCTCGTGATGCGCTCCGAGAAGTTCACCAGCGATGTGACCAGGCCTAGGCATTCTGTGCATATCATTTCGGGCAGCTCCTCGCCTCGAGTTATCTGCCAATTGAAGGAAAAAGTAACAGAGTTACGGAGAAGCCAACACACTAGCCACTAGCTACTCACATTCACCCAAAAGTATTTTCCTATGGCCATGGTTAGATCTCCTCCTGCATCCGTGGTGTCCGCTTCGTTCTTTAGAAAAACATTGATGTTGCCTTGGATGTCATCCTTAGCGCAAAGTCGGCACCACAGCTGCCAGTTTGTGGCTAGATCCTGTGCGCTTTCTGCCACAGCCATTGCAACATTCAGGAGGAGTTTTTAATTAAATTGCAGCAAAACATATTTTGGAAACTGCGGCGTTGCCACATCGTTGACATTGCAGGCATGAGCGCATGAACCAAATTATATTTTAATGCATTTTAAAAGAATTCCTTAAAAATTAAGCAAATAAACCAACAAATAATTAAATACATGGCGCAGTCTTTAATTAATATTATTCCTATTATTTCAATATACATATGTATGTATTTATATATCATTGAATACATTTGAATGCTCTGCAGCCCTGACGCACTCTCTAGTTCAAAAATCAGCTGTTCTGTGTCGTTGTTAGTGTTTCGCTTTGTTTGTGATTTTTTTTAGGCGTTACAATAACAGTTGCGAAATTATTGCGGGGATTTTTAGTGTAAAAAATGTTTGAGGCACGCCTAGGAAAGACAGCGCTGCTGAAAAAGATTGTGGAGGCCTTGAAGGATATACTCAAGGCTAGCACATTGGATTGCAGCGACTCTGGCATACAAGTTAGTTTAAATGTTTAGCAAAGAAACAAAAAGCATCAGTTCTTCACACTCTATCTAGCTGCAGGCCATGGACGACTCGCACGTCTCTTTGGTGGAGCTTTCCTTGAGTAGCGAGGGTTTCGAAAAATATCGTTGCGATCGCAATCTTTCCTTGGGCCTGCACCTGGACATGCTGGCCAAGGTATTGAAATGTGCCAACAACGACGATGCCGTAACCATAAGTGCTCAGGATAAGCCCGATAAGGTGCTCTTTGCCTTCGAATCGCAAAGCAAGGAACGCACCTCGGACTATGAGCTGCGTCTGATGAATCTGGAGCAGGAGCATCTGGGCATTCCGGACACAAGCTATGCGTGTGTTGTGCGCATGCCTGCTGTGGAATTCGCCCGCATTTGCCGGGACTTGGCCATGTTTAGCGAAACGGTAATTATAGCTTGCCAGAAGGACAGCATCAAGTTCTCGGCTAGTGGCGATGCGGGCACAGCGAATATCAAGCTGTCCCAATCTGTCATCGATGAGGAAACACAGAGAGTCAGCATCGAGGTAGATGAGCCCGTTACTCTCTCATTTGGCGGCAGATATTTGTCTTCGTTTACACGCGCCACGCCACTTTCCGAGCAAGTTAAGATTGGCATGGCTGTAAATGTGCCATTGTTAGTGGAATATGCCATCGAAAATTTCGGCTATGTGCGCTACTATCTAGCTCCCAAGGTGGACGAGCCGGAGGCGTAAAAGGGAGGACTCTAACTATTTTTTTAAATTATCCATTTAATGCACGTGCAATGTTTTGTGCAATTTTTATTCTATAAGTCCCGTTTTTATACCAAATACTATGTTTACACAAATTATATATTCAAATATTATATTTTAAAAAGACAATATCGAAGCATTTTTTTTATTTATCAGCTTTTTATTTTGTGGTTGATTTTCAAGCTAGAGTGGGTATTACCTGGGAAAAAACTCTCTTATATACAAATTTACATTTATGAAATGAAAATAGTCAAAAGTCCCATTTTGTATAGAAATATCATTAATAATTAATATTAAATTCACGAAAAACGCGAATTATTTCAGAAATTTCTTTACTGTGCCAAAAAAGAGAATGAAAGAAGACGAAAAAGCCCTAAAAAAGCAATTTTTCCGAAAATTACAGTCAGCTTATGAATTCGTTTATTTATAAAATTAAAAAAATATATATTCATATTGTTCATAATTGTTTAATTTAAGCCATTTTAGTTATATTATTATGAGCTGTTAAACCATTATATAATCGCTAATCTAGGATGAATAGTAAAATAAGCCTGAAGCTAAGCAAAATTTTAAAACAAAAAACATATCCCTATTGTGACCGGAGTCCAGCTATCGTTATTAAAACTAGCCAGTGTTGGACATATTAAAAATATCTGTAGAACGTACAACTGAAAAAGAGAGTATTTTCAATTCGGCATTGCAAATGGACTTACGATAGAAATACTTAACTAAAAATAAAAGTTTATTTCAATTTATTTAAATTGAGTAATTACTATTTATTAAATAGACTGTGTAATCGATAAGTTTCACTTCAATGATAACGATTGCTGTAATACTTTCAACGATTTTGATAACGCCTTTCATTTCATCGTTAGCGCGTCCTAAAAGCGCAGGAAAGCTCAGTCGCATGTTAATTTAGTTAGTCTGGTTAATTTCGCATCATTTAAAATAATTCCGCAACGCTGTTCGACTTAGAAAATACATGAAAAGCAAATATATTTATGGCAGGCAATTGGCAGATGTGGTGCCGACTGTGCGCCAACGATGACATCCAAAACAATATGGATGTGGTGGTGAAAAGTATGAACGAGTCGAAGTTAACGGGCGTAGGATACATAGCCATGGCCATAAGCAAAATCTTTTGGGTGAATGTGAGTAGCAATGACTAGAGCTGGCCCTTCAATAATCAGTAACTCCTGCTTTGGATTGTCAGATAACTCCAGGCGAGGGTCTGCCGGAGATGATTTGCTCAGAGTGCCTTACCCTGATCAAAACGTTGGTGGAATTGTCGAAGCATGTATCCAAGGTGCAAAAAATGTATGGTCAACTGTTGAGCACGCCCCAGCTGAATGAAATGGATGTGCGAGAAGTGCGCAACAAATTTTTTGTTCTGGGCAATGAGCAAGACTCGCTGCTGCCTGATGTCCACCATTTGGAAGATGGGGAACTACAAATGAATGGACAGCGGCAGAGCAGGCTGGAGGAAGATCCACTTGTGGCTTGCGTGCAGAAGGAAAAAGAAACTAACGTGGAAGAAGTTGCTGAAGACACAGCCAGCGAGAAGGGCAGCCTTTTAAAGAGCAGTGAAGAGAAGCGCTTAACCAAATGTGTATCATCTAAGGATAAACCGAAAAAGATCGAGAGGAAGCTGCTCTGCACAAAGTGTGATAAGACATTCGGTACACGGGTGGGACTCCAGCGTCACATGCAGTGCCATGTGGCCATAACCCAACGCAAAATGTATCCGTGCGAGACTTGTGACATGAAATTCGTGAGCAACTCTTACCTGTGGCAGCATGTTCGGCATGTGCACCAGAATGTGCGTCCACTACCCATTATCTGCGAACAGTGCGGCACAGGCGTGCTGTCGAATGCCGCACTCAAGGATCACATGTTGGTCCATACGGAATACGCGCCCCACGAGTGCGATATTTGCCAGAAATGCTTTAAGAGCGAAAGATGTCTAAGGCAGCACAAAGAAACACACGACTCTCGGCCCACGCCCAATCGACCCATCCGTACGGATCAAATGCAGCAGAAATGCGACTATTGTGGACGGGAATTCAAGCGTGACAATGCCCTGAAGTGTCATTTGATACTACACACTGGCCAGAAGCCATATTCCTGCGACTTTTGCAATCGCACCTTTGCCAGTGGGTCTAATTGTTGCAGACACAAGAAGAGAGTGCATCCAGTCGAGCTGGCCGCACAGAAAGCGGCCGGCGCCGCCAGAACCTACAGTCGGGATCTACCAAAGCTGGAAGACCTCAAAGCATTGTAAGATAGGATTGAAAATACGCTCTTAATATGTATAAAAATTAATTTATGTGTGTTCTACAAATAGCATCAGAAATAAGGAGAATCTTTTGCCGATGGCCCCCAAACAAAGTGCATGCTTGGCCGCCAACAGAAACCCCAATAAGCCTGCAGTGGTATCCGAAGCTGCTCCCCAATAATCCAATGCCTAATCCTTCGCAACACATTCACAGTCAGTCCGTGGGAGAAATGATTGGTTGGCGCGCAATTTTGAATTATTTTGACTAATCTTGGCATATGGAGTTCGGGACGCTGCATCCATCCACTGCGCATGTCCTGTGTATGTCAAAGGCTGGCCCACTCTCGACCACCCCCTGACAAAGTAGCCAATATACTGCCTTATAAAGGAATTTAGTTCAGTTGACAGCGTGCGCTCCCTCGTGTCTGCTCTCTGGCTTGGGATTGTTTAATTTTAAAGCCTGAACCTAACATGTAGAATTACCAAATTATTAATTAAAAACTATGTGTATTTGTTTTATACACGCTTTGGGCGTCGCAAGCCTAACGGGCAGTACAAACTTGTTGTAATAAAAATAGAAAATAAACCGCAAAAAATTCAAATTAAATTTTATGTGTTCGGAACTCGATCAAAAAAAAAAATCGATACTTGCCCAATAAAAACAAAGTGCATAGCCGTACCGCCGTGCCTCCGTTCGTATGTGTGTGACTGAGCTTTAAATGAATTTCAGAAGTCTTTAAGCAGAGACAAGGTTAAGTGTTTTAACATTTATGAATAAACAAAATTAAACAGCCAGAGCCAGCGGGCGCTGTGAGGCACATGAAAAAAATTGCTGCTGCACTTAATGGCGTTTATATTGCAAGTAAGATGCGATAAATGTTTATAATTTTAAGTGAGTTTTAATAAATTTAAAGTGAGGTTTAATAATATATATTGAAAATATACAAATTAATTTAAAAATATATCAGCCGTGTCTGCAGTGAACCAGCACAGCTGTTCTTTTGAGACTCAATCTGCGGAGTTAGCGAACCAGCTAGTTCGCCAGTTCAGTTCCACAGAGCCAGCTTGTGAGCCAGTTCGTTTGCGAACAGCAAACACAAATGGTGCGAAAATTACATTTGCTGCGCGAAATGTCGTGTTTTTAGTGCTTTTAAAAATTAGAATAAATGCATTTAGCCAACGGGCCCCTTCCCCAGTCTGTAAACATGCATGTGTTTTACGAATTAGTGACGAAATCTTTATAAATGAACGCATACCGTATTGCTTGTCGTGTTTCTTATTCTGTGTTTGTATTGTTGCACAAGTCGGCGTTTTCTATATGTTTTTACGCACGCACAACTTCAACGCGCGTGTGTGTGTGTGTCTGCCAGTGTGTATGACGGTGAATTAAAAAAAATCGATTTGTAAGTTTTACTTTTAATTGTTTTAAATGAAAATGCCACCCAAATTATAAGGCTGTATAATTGTTTGTGTGTGTATGTGTCCGGCTATTTTGCTACGTTATCGTAAAACGGGTTCAGAGGTGCGTAGGTGGGTCGCCAGCCAGTTTGCTGGCTTGGTGGCATTCAACAACAACAATAATAATTATAATAATAATGACAACACAATAACAGTAAGCGCGCCCGGCAGCGCCTTTATCTCTAAATTCGAAAGTTGAAGCAACAGTGCGTTCTAATTGGAATTTTGTTTCGCCACAATAGCTAGTTGGCTGGCTCGTCAGTTTTGGGCTCAAAACTAACGCCAAAGTGCAACAAAGGCTGGCAACAAAAGTTTTGTGTGTGTGTGTGTTTGGGTGTGCAAAGAAGCCGCGAACCGCATTATCCTTTTGGCTTGACCTAAATTGCATTGCCAACCAACCAACTAACCAACCAGCCAGCCAACCAGTAAGGATGTCCAAGCTGGCAGGCAACCAGGCGGCATTGTAGCAAGGTAGCCACCACTTTGTTTTTGCCTCTCTTGCCTATCTACTTGTCTTTGTCCAGCCTCTTTCGTCGCCTCGTCGCCATAGACTTCCTTTTGTGCGTTGCCGTTTTGCCATTGCCTGGTTTATCATTTAATGTGCGGCAAGTTAATTGCCCTAAGAAGTTTCCCACCCACTGCAATAAACTCTTATCAGTGACAGTGGCAAGTTCTTAAAGTGTTTCATTTCATTTGGTGTGGCAGAGGAGTGCCTGCGGCACCAAGCATTTCCAAATTAAAATTCTTCTTGCCACTCTCATTAGCAATTACGCGCAGGCGGCGATGCCAAATGACTTGTCAAAGTAATGAGACACAAATTTCCATATTGAAAGTGCACATCGACATATCTGCGGCACAATCAATAAGCTTTCAAAATTACAGCTAATGTTTCTCATTTCCCCCCCAAACATCCTAGCCCGCTGCCTCGCTTCAGCTGCTCGCGCAAAGTTTTTGGCGCTTTTCGGCAGACATGCCAGTTGAATTTAATTACTGCCAATGCAGCTGTCAAAGCAAAGGATGCAAAAAGTGAGGGTAATTTCATTAAAAGGCAGCAAAGTTTTTCCAAAAAACTACACATTTCAGTCTAAATATACATGCGATCAGACAGGCAAACAATTTCCACAAAAGCTTCTAGGGTTTTTGTATGGAAAAGAGAGTAGTTTCTTTAAAAGGTTCCACAGTTCTTCCTACTTAACATTTTCGAATAAACATACATATGTACATGCGGTCAGACAGGCAAATAATTTGCACACAAATTTGTAGGGTTTTGTTTTTATGAGAATGAGCTGCAAATCAGGTTTTTATATAATATTGTTATTATTTTTTATGAAAACCCATTGATATTTGAACCCATCCAGATTATACAAAACTAAATAAAACTTTCAATAAAACAAGCATTGGCACTTGATTTTCGTAAAACTTGATTTTATTAATATTATTGTTATATTGTCATTAACACCTTTTTTAAAATCTTTGAAGCTACTGTGCGTTCTTCTTTCATATTATCTTCACTCTTTTTATAACTCTTTCTTTTAAAACAAATTCGACAAAGAATAAGAGTACATACATTTATTTTCCTTTTAACACACAATTACAGCCAAGCTTTAACAAATAATTGCTTAAAAACCATAAAAACCAACATGTTCGACGAAGAATAAGAGTCTTTTTTTATTTCTTCACAGCTGAGAAAAAATAAATAATTGCATGCAGAACTTTTAAACACTTATCAACCATAGTTGTGGCCTTTAATTGTTGTACTTTTTTGTATAACATGCACACTTACTGGTTTGAATCCTATTGCTCAGAATGCCATTTTCATTTCTACAATTATTTCTGCTTGGTTCCTTCAAACTATTTTATAATTTTCTTTAGAAGGCAAAATAAATTTTGTTCTTCAATTAGGCAACTCAAAAGTGTCTTAATTTAAAACTATTCCAAATGGTTGAGGTCCTTATGTATTCAATATTAATAATAGAGTTCATTTAAGTAATTCTGTATAAAGGAGTTTTTAATTAAAATGTGTATGCTACTTATTCGAATCTACCTAAATGACATAGTTCTATACATCATTTTCTAAAACATTTTATGTTCCCCTTCAACTATTTAATAATTTATCTTTAGTAAACAAAGTTAATTTTCTTGAACAATAATAAAGTGGTTTGAAATGGTTTTTCATAATAAAATGTCTTATTCCCGTCATTTACGAATATTTTCTGAGGAAATTGACAATGAGAAACTATAAAATTGTTAATAAAAATGCTTTAATTTTTTGAATTTAACTAAATCGGTTGACAAAATAGAAGAAATGGACATTTTAGTGATAATGTATAAATTTTAAAGCATATTTATTGAAGTATTCATTTCGTTTTAGATAACTTCTTAAAAGTACCGTCTTAGGAATGATTATTGAGCCATCATCTAAATCTTGTTTTAGTAAACAGCAAGTTTACTAAAAGAACAATTGAAAAACTTGGAGGTTTCATTACTTATAAACATTGTTTCTATTATATTTTCATTCCTTAATTAATGAAGAACTCACTGCTGTTAACTAGCAAGTCTTCTAAGAGTCATAGTTTCCAATGCTAATACTCATCTTTCCCATTACTGAATGGACCAGATTTACTTAGTTTCTGTCCAACCGTGCTCAGTAAATATTTCTTCAACTTATTAAATTACACTTGTCACTTTGCCCATTATGTGTTGGGTCGCCTTCAATAAGTTTTTCCCTTGCTCTATTAAGCTTGTAACAGTTCAAATCCCTTAAGAATGCAATAACCCCTTGCAAAAAAAGAAAAAAAGAACGCCTTACGATGACACTGCCTCTAAAAAACTTGGCCACTAGTCAATTTGTTATCTGCTATCTTAATGTTTGACTTACTGGCTTTTTGACGACGGCTACGCATAAGCCCATAAGTAAGTCACTTGATAAACGAACCGCCTCCCCTCCTCCCCCCATTTTTTTCGAAACATATGTATGTATAACTTCATATCGATAAGCTTTGACCAACATTTGTCATGCTTTAGTTGCCCTTAGTTTGTTTGCTTGATTTTTGTTATGTTATGGCTATTAAAGTGTTTGCCTTGGTCAAGATTTGTTGTCTGACTTAATGATGCCATAATATTTCTATGTTTTACAGTTGCTAGAAACTATAGTATGCCGCTAGAAACATTTTATGGTTACGCATTCCGGCTGTGAATATTGAGAATAACTTTTGTGGAGAATTAACATTAAGCTAAAGCGGCTTCTTAAATCAACCCCTAGGCAGTTATACCATTTGAAAAGCTCTTTCACTGTCCTACAAAAATCCTGGTTACGCACCCGAAAGAAGTTTCGCTAGACGTGGAAAACAAAAGTTTCCCAAGACGAGGAAAACTTATTGGTTTATTGTTATAAATATACTTAGGCTGGTATTTCAGTTTGTTGTATCAGAAGCTATTTGTGGCACCATATCTATTAGAAAAAGTTTAGAAAATTTAGAAATTCTTATAAAAGCTTTTAAGCAATAATATTGCACTGTTATACATATGCTGTATAAAATGTGTAAATATTTCTACGTGGCATACAGTAGTAAACGATTTTGTTGGCCCGCCATTCATATTTTTGGGCATATATAACGGTACTATTCCCAATTACAGCATTTTGAAGAGGAATATGTCATGTTATACTTATATATAGTACTCGTTCATGTGAATAAAACACGTGGTTTCATTTGAAGTTCCATACTCTAGTCATAAAATTTCGTTTTAGCTTGTAGAAGAGTTATTTTTTTAAATATGCTATGAAAAGTATGTTTCTTGAAGACGGATGTTACAAATTGATTAAAATTGTAGCTCCCTCACTATTTGCCCATTAGTACAAACTTCTATAAAAAACTATATATAACATTTATTTCGTAGTTCTAAAAAAAACCGCTTGTATAAAAGTGTTATAAATTGTCTAACTTGAAAGAAGAACTAAGATACTTATTGGATTCTTAGTTTATAGCTTGTATAATCAGAAAAAGTGGTATAATTTTGTAGTTCTACAACCTGTTCTATAATTTCGTTGTGTAATAAATGAATTGTATAATTGTTATAAAGAGTCCAACTTGAAAACAGAGCTAAAATACCTACACATTTCGATTATTATAGCTTGTATAAAACACATAAAGTGGTCTACTTTTTTAGTTCTATACCTTGTTCTAAAATTTCGTTCTCATTTTGTTGTGCTTCTGTATAACAATGTGCTAAATGAATTGTATAGCTGGTATAAGCTGGTAGCATAGCTTCTAAATTAGTACACACAGTTTTATATTTGGCCCGTTTGTTTTTTATCCAAAAAAGTTAGCCAAGTTTGAAACCTTTGTAGAGTAAATTGAAACCCCTTAGGGGTATGTGTTATAATGGCATACTTTTGTAAGAGGCGTGCTATTATTTTCGATGTACTGTTCTTGGTTCTAGAGCGCTTTAGTGCAGGGGTTGTTATGGCCTCCCCTATTCAGAGAAGCTGTTATAATACAAGTATGTAGTAGATGTGTCTCCTGAGTGGTTTTGCTGAGAATGGTTGGTTTCATCATCCCCTAAGCATTCGAGTTGTTTTAAACGCACTCTAGATTTGTTTTTTGAGTGTTTTGGCTGATGAATCTCTAGCATGGTTTGTTTTTATCATCCCCTGAGAAGTGGAGTTTTTTTGTGCTCACTCTAAACTTGTTATTTGAGCGCGTTTGCTAATGAGTGTTTTTATATTTAGCTCGCCCAACGGCTGTTGCTTGGCAGTTAAAAAGAAAAAATAATAAAAACTGCAGTGCATATAAATTGCGCGTTATTTCCCTCCACGTGCAACCAGCTTTGCATCCCTTGACGACCACATTTTTTGCAAGTTTTTCGCGATCCAAGAGCAACAACTAATGCTGCAGAAATGAGTGCAAAAAAAAGCCAAAGCTTTTACTTTAATTAAATGCGTGCG